TTCTTTGTTTTCAGACTCATTCATCAGACCTCCTCTTCATTCGCCACTCTGCCCGTCTCCTACTCAGATTTTGAAGATCTTCTATCCTATGAAGTTTTTTGTGAACAATACAGCCTCTGGTGATCTCTCTTTTGCTAAACTCCCACATCACTAATTGTACCTTATGACATCTCCCCAAAGAATCATAAGCTCTCTGTGGAGTTTCTTTGTCTCATAATATACCCAGGACTATTACATGCATGGGGAAGTCACTTAATAAATCTATACTGATTGAATGAACATATAAATTAATAAGTGAATACAAATAAAGTATAGGCTGCCTAAAACTTCTTTCTAATAAGTACCTCTGCTTTTATCAGACATTTCTGGGAGGTCTCTGAGTTTATACTAAATGTCCAAGTGTTTTTGGCTATATCGTGCTTTATCTCTAATAGCAGTTTTCAAACTTTACAAGGATGGATAAGGCAGTAAAAAAGAAACAAAGCTACAGTATAGGAATTTTAAAAGACATATGAAACAAATAATGATATAACAAAGGATTATTCACTTAGGCACACAGACAGGGGTTGATTTATAAAATTTCCTACTTGCTCTTTCAGAACATACGAATTACACAAAATGAGATCTTCCTGTATAATAGATGTTTCAAGTTATATAATAAAGAGATGCACAAAGACTAAGCTTAGCATTTTAAATGGAAGAAAAAGCATATTAAATCTGTACTTACTGTCTTCTATGTCCCAGCACTGGGTGATTGGGTCCCCATACTTTACATCTTGGCGTCTAGCTCGCCTACAGAAAGGGGGTTAAACTGATGAGAACTTCAAGTGTGATAATCAGAATATAGAAAGGCTACATCTAACACTAATAACAGATGCAGAACTATGCTTATCTTACAGCTCAACTTAAATGCAGGTCAATATTGCAATGAAACTAACATTAACTCCAATGTTACTGGTGGTAGAATCCTAGTAGAACAAATCCTGTTTGGACAATGAGATTACTTCAATTTTATTTAATTACTATTCTTTTCTTTTTGTCTGATTTTTGATGAATTATTCAATGGAACAGGTTGAATATAAATATAATCCAGGTTTTATATAACTAAAATAGGGATAACTCTACTTACCCTTTCAGTCATTGGGAAATAATAACATATAAAAGAGCTTCAGTCAGTGGGTAATAAAGTATACACAAGTACAAAACACTTTATCATGTAAATACACATTATTACATAGATTTGATTAAGCAACAAATTAAATGCTGTCACTTGAAACAGAATTACAAGTTTGATATGGTATGAATGGCTACCTATTATTTCTATCTTCTGTCATGTAGCTCAACTTGTTTTCTGGTAGTTGTGATAATAATATTAATGATAATGATAATAAATAATGGCTTTTGCATTATGTCACATATTTTCCTTAAGAGAAAATAGTAATTATTGTATAAAAAAGAAAAAATCTGCTACATGTATGTTAAGCATGTCTTACACTCTTATGTTATTTTATGTTAATATACATCTTATATTAATATATATCTTATTATAATATATTAATGTATATCTTATTATATATATTACATTATTTTATATCTTATTTGCTTTGGCCATTTTATTTTGCCACTTCAGAGATTGGAGAAGAACCATAAACCTTCTGCAATATCTAGGGTGTTCCTTAAGGGCAATGCTGACCAGATGACGACCTTGTACAAGATTCATCCATTGTGAGCATCTTTTGGCTCACATGCACATTATGTTAGGTAAGGAAAAACATCACAGTGGCATATCTGTAAGATCAGAGATACAGTCTTGGGAACTAGAAGAAGAAAAATTATGATGGTATAAGGTACATAAGGTCAAGAACGTTTTTATATCTTGGCTTCTTAAAGAACACGGTCTATTCATCATATTGAAGGTTTCTCACCAACTAAGGAGAATTCTTGCTTTTTAGCTTCCAGAAAAGACTCACTATGATAAGCATATTATTGGCTGAAACCCATAACAAAATGTTGGTGACTTTTTATTTTGACTTGTAATAATCATATCTACCCATTTAAATTTAATTCAGAGATTTCAGCCAATATAAAATGTTTACAATTTTAAGCAGTATTTGCTGTTGTATTATACTATATATTTAATCTGTGACTCCCAAGATTTTAGAATTTAACAAATCAGTAAAATTTCAAAAAGAAAAAAAAATGTACATGTGGTAATGAGACTAACATATGCTTACCTGTTATCTTAATTGGTTAAAAAAAGACCTAAAGAATAAAAGAATGACACACACAATTTGCTGACATTTTACCTAGATGGAAATATACTTTGAACAATACTTTATAAAGTAATGCTACTATAACCCACATTAAAAATAATTAATGTATGATATTTACCTAACATCAGGCATATTGATGGGCATTCATTCAGATTGTTTCAAGTTATTTTGTTATTAAAGATAGTGCTGAAATGAACATCCTTAACCATATAACTTTGTGGAACTTTTGCACATGTGTGTACAGAATAAATTTCTAGCTGAGAATTACTGGCTCAAAATAGTGGTTATGTCTAGGAACACATAAAGCAATGAACTGCAAAGAGCAAGGTAACAGTTTGTTGTTTAAGTATATCGGAGTGGCAGAAATTGACTAAATTAGAGTTATTAGAGTAAAAATAAAATTGTACCAAGTCACTAGATGCACTGTGGGCTGTATATAATCTGTGCTTTTACAAACACATATATTTTAAAATTATTTATGAAACAGTTCTGAGTATATACATATTTACAATAAGAAGGGAGGAAGGGAGGATTATAAAAAAGGTAAAGTAGCGAATAGAAACAAATTTTAATGGTGTTTAAATGTAAATGAAAAAAAAGAATATAAACAATGTATCAATTTTTTAAAGTTCTACGTTTTGGAATTTCAGAATATCTGTTTTACTCTCTTTCAAAATTTAGTTTTATACAAAACTCTAAAAAGATTTATTTCAATATTCCTTCCATCAACTGACCATGTTTTCTATATATTTTCATTTTAACTTAAACTACAAGACGACGATTTATGTGAGATATTCATTTTATAGAAAGGAAGGATATTCTCAATGCACGTCTTACCTTTTTGAAGTAGGTGCGTATCGAGAGCACGCATTTCCATCCCAGGCACAGTAGGGGTCTCTGGCGAGACAACAGTCTGCACAAGCTTTCCCATAAGTGTCGCATCTGTGCAAGGAGAGCTGAACCAATCCATCTCGTGAACCAATGTACAACTGTTGCTGCAAATCAGGCAAAACAAATGAATTAGAAGCACCTTTCAGACTAGTCTTAAAAACTTTGTTTTCTTGAATACCACATGATACATCTAAATCTGTTTCCCTAAGTGTCCCGCCCCTTGTAAACACTTGTACAGAAACATAACAAAGAGCAAAACACGTCAATTTCTTCTACCCCTGGTGGGGGAGTGGTTTGGTGGTTTGAAGATGTCGGTAATGAAAACGACAGCATTCTAAAGTGCTGAGTAAGCTTGGCAGCAATTTATGAAGGTCAAAAACCAGCTGCTAGACAAGAATTAAGATGTCAAATTCTTTCTCAATAGTAGAAAATATACCTTGGTAGATTATATCAAGCACAGATGCTACAGGCAAACCTGAGGGTCTTCCCCAGCCATGGCTCCTTACATGAGAGATGACTGAAAAGAGATTTATAAAACTTTCCTCTGGTTTTAATTAACCATTTCATTTGTTAATGAAGTACTGGTCCCCAAAAGGACAGGGTTGTAAGTGGGAGAGAAAGCTTTTGGTATCACTCTAAAGAAAGTGTTGAAGCAGGCTTGAGAGAAGCCATGTCAAAAAGAAAAGACTGCAGGATACTGAAAAACCCAGCAAATAAAATTCAGCTTTGAAAATAAGCCCAGAAATGAATGCACTACCCCACTTATGTATGCATTTGGGTGTCTGTGGTAGTGGTGGTAGAGAGGGAGGGACGATACAAATGAATAAGCCGTAGCCTGTGCCTTTAAAGAACTCATGGTCAACCCCAGTGGACCATGCCAAGCTTTAAATGAAGGAAAAGCAGCTTAGAAGTAAATATTGGCAGTAAGTAGCATACATGCACTCAACTTACAGAAATCTGTCTTATACCTCTATCGCCCATTAAACTGTCAGTTAAGACTTTCTAGTTGCTAAATGCAATGAACACTGTTTAACATTTGTTTTGCTTAAATTCTCCATAGTGTTGGACACTAATGACAATATGCTCCTTGAAACTCTCTCCACTTTCTCCTGTTCTCCCTCTTCATGTCTGCCTTTGTAATTTTTTTCTTCGCACTAAATGCTGGGTTTCCCTCTTTCCTATTCTCATTTCTTTACGCCTTTTATTCTCTAAAGGTTCAGATGTATTCTGAAAACAACATAAACATGAACATAACGACTCCCCTAAATCTACTCCTCCTGCCCTACCTTGGCAAGAAGCACCATCACTCACCCCGTTACCCAAGACAGAAATCTGGCAGTTGTTTTTGAATCTTCTGTCTCTCACATTCAATCTGTCACCACGTCATTTCCATTCTCTCATGGAGGATTTTCTGATCTATTTCCTCCTCTCCCTCTCCACTGCCACTGCCTTTGTTTCAGTCCTTATCATTTCTTTCCTGGATTACTTGTAAGTGTCCTATTTCTGTGGCTTCAGCCTTGTTTTCCAGCAACCCCCATCTCTCCACCAGAACCCAATCTATCTTCCACACTGCCACAGCAGACTGATTTTTCTAAAAGGAAAATCTTATCGGGACAACCTCCTGGTTATAATCTTTAGGGGTGTTCATTGCCTTTTTTTTTTTTTTTTGAGACAGGATCTCCTTATGTTGCCCAGGCTGGACTCGAATTCCTGGGCTCCTGTGATCCTCCCATCTCAGCTTCTTGGGAAGCTGGGACAGTAAGTACGAGCTTCCTAAGCACCCAGGGGTTTCATTATCTTTAAGATACATTGTTAAGCTTCTTAGGAGGACGTATAAGGATGTGCCTAATCTTGCTCTGGCTTACCTCTCCAGGTTTATTTCCAGCCCCCTTCCCCCTTGAACACACATATACCTCTGGCTCTAAAGTAACACAAACCGATTAGAACAACCTATGGTCTCTCTTCACACTTTTGCAAAATGTTCTCCCCTTTCACGTGGCATAAGCTCCTCAATCCCATCCCCTTTTAATTTATCTGTTTGTTTTTATCATTATTATTATGAATAGCATGCTCCTCTGTCTCTCAGCTCTACTGTGAGCTTCTTGGAGGTTAAAAGCTATGTCATTCATTCACTTCTGTACCCTCCAAGCACAGCAGTAGGCCTTCAAGAAATAAATGTTGAATGAATGAACAGATTAATGGAAAAGACCTGAAGAAGAAACCTATTTAGAACTTTCCTTAATGATCATTCTGCCATATGAGGCATAGTAGATAAAGACAATTTTAGAAACACCTTAATGTTGAACATCTTATCATATGACTTTCTTAAATCTTGAGGGTACAAATAGAAATGGTAATGCAAGTATGAATCTCTAGAACCAATTGGGATTTGGAGTATCATATCAGAGAACTGAAGTCATATTCAACATTGTTATCATTATCATAATTACCTACTCTTCACTTCATGCTTATAATGTCCCAGCTCTCTGTGTAGAATTTTGCATGTAACATCTTATTTAAACTTCCAATAAACTTACAATGTAGATATTGTTTTTCTAACTTTACTGTAAAGGAAACTGATTCTGAGAGTTCAATATTAAGTGGTATTTTGAAGGCCAACTGTTGTTGGGCTATTTGCTACCACAGTCCATATTCTAACTCCTAGACTTCCAGATTAAAACCCTTTGTAAGGGTTAGGGGTGATATTCTACACAATTTTTTATGACTTTCACAGAAAGACTTCCTTATTAGACTAGGAAAGTGAGCTCATTTTTAAAGGCCAAAGGAAGAGAAGAATATATTGTTCAATTGATGAAATTAGGTTCCATTTCTCCCAAGGCAAGGCTCAAACAATGGCCATTAATCAATTAAACTAGAAACAAATGTAAAATTTTTATATTATTTACTGTTTAATTTCCAATTTCAATGGATTTCCCTTCAAATGAACTTTTGATTCAAGTAACCTGTTGCTTTGTGGATAATTTTTATATAAAAATTAGAAAGTACCTGCTTTAGAGACAACTCCATGTTCAAGATGATCGATGGGTGCTGAAAATAGAAGTTATATGTCAATAAAGATAATCATTAACATGCTTTTTTATTAACCAATATGTTGTTTTATCTTACACCAAAGATCACTGAAGTGATCTGCTATTTAGGGGAGAAAAGGATCTTGTTTGCTATTTTCTTCCAGTGTGTAGTGGTTTTACCTTAATAGAAGTGAAAATAGTTACTTAAAGTATCTTATTAAAGAAAAACTACCTTAACATATAAGGAAACACTGCAATGAAAATTGTTCCCAGTTACTGACAAGTTTCTCCTTTTTCCAATCTGCTTATCTTAACTGCTTCCATATAATTCAAACTAGTGTTGACAAGAACATCTCCATAATTATTTATTACCTCTTTCTGCTATTACTTAGATCAGTGGTTCAAAAACTTGTTCAAGTAGCAGAGTTCTGAAAAGTTATAGGGCTCCTTGTGGATGACCATATTCTTTATGGAACACTATACAATATTGATGCCCGTGATTTCATAATATACACTAAAGCCAGTTTTATTTGTAGAAAATATGGCTCTGTGCATGTAAGACAAAATCAGAAACATGAACACAAAAATTACCAAACTAAAAAGGACAGAATGTTTTAAAAAAATGCCATCTGTCTATCTTCTATCTATCTACTATTTATTCATTTCACACCAGCTAGTATTTACTACTTGGCAAATAGTAGCAAATGTAAAAGATTTAAGGAAGTATAAGAAACAAAAAATTTAAGTGAGAACGTTCTATCTATCCAATAATATTTTGTGTCACGAACTTAAAAAGCATGGCCAAACTCATCAAATTATATGCATTAAGTATGTGTGTTTTTTGTATGTCAATTATACCTCAATAAAGCTGTTTTTAAAAGAAGAAAACAAAACAAATCACGGCCATTATTTAATCTTTAACAGCGGAATCCAAGCAATTCCTGTGGACCACGGTCGTAACACCATTGAATGAGATTTGTTCCAATGTGCCTACATGTGTTGTAGGGACTGTATTTTTGGCCTCAGGGTTCACATTTATGTTTGACATCCGGCCTTTCCCTTAGGAGCCACCCAAGATTTTGTTTTGGTAGACACCAGATAGCAGGCCTTGTTCTTGTTAACTCCTTGACCACTATTATCATCACAATGTAAACAGGATCCTGTGGAACTCAGCATGTTAATTAACTTGGGCCCCTCACAGTGGAGGGCTTTATTCCCTTTTAGGCAATAGATGTTTACATGGAAACAATCCTTTTTAATAAACTGTCTCAACAAAAATGTTATTAAAAACCACAGCATATTTTTAAAAAGCTTTTCTAAGGAATAAAATTTTATTTCTAATGTTATTTTCAGGAAATAATTTAAAATCAAATTTTATTGAGGATTTACCAAAAAAATGCCACAATTCAAATTTATTGTTAAAAGTCAAAGACATTCTCTAGACCTGGAGAACTATTCTTGTAGATCTACTAACTCTTTTTGGCTGGTGAGAGCAATTTAGCATACATGAAGACTTACTATCATGCAACCTTTTTTTTTTTTTTTTTTAATTTCCTTACAGAAAAGCAGGGACACATGATTTATACACTCTTTTAGCTTTTTCAAATTCAATTGGGGAAAAATAGAAAAGCAAAATTTATAAAGTAGAAAAGCATCTGGATAGTAAAAGAGACCCCAGGCTTTCATTTAATGTGGCAATTTGTCTGACTGTATGCTTAGAGAATGCAGTAATGAGAGGCAATCCCAGGAGCTCTGAGTTCAGTGGTACTCTATAGAGTAAGGTGAGTCCCATTCAAAGTTGTGTATAAAACTTTTTCCATTGCTTAGGGAAAAGAAAAATAAAGGAGCTAATTTCAAACACTTCTCCAGGAAAAGTGATGATGTATTAAAACAAGTGCGCCCTGAAACAAGAACATCTCAGTTCCCCCGTCTCTGCTCCTGCAACTTGGGACTGAGTCTTACCTTGAATATCTGCAACTCCTCCAGAACTACCTCTTCCATATTCCACTTCTCCTTGGAAATGCTGACAACTTTTAGCAGGGTTCCAATGTCTGAAAAAGTGCATAGCCCATGAGCCTGCTATTTCTATTTCACTATTCAGTTGTAAGCATATTCCTAGAAACAAATTGCTCCCTTCATTTCTTTTTAAATGCCTTTCACAAATTAGATTGAATAAAGCAAACATAAAGAAGTGAAGCTTAATGTATATGATTTTGCCCTTCAGAAATATTATAGCTTTTAGCTAGTAGAATACATATTTATAGAGAGAATATTAAAAGACATATTCGGAGCATATTCTTCACAAAAGAAATATATATGTTTAGTTTAAATACTGGTTAAAATGATAACAAAGATGGAACAAATGTTTTGGGCCTTAATTAAAAAGGTTAAAATATATTAAAATAACCAATTTCTCTCTCCTCCACCTCTAGCTCAATGTAATATATATTTATTTAGTAGTTATTATATCCAATTCACCATAAAAGGCAGATGTATGTTCTTTTAATGTTAACAGACGGACAAAAAAAAAAGAGAAATCATTGAAGCAATCTGAGGAAAATTGTAGCTCACTCTTCAATTGTATTTTATCTTCCTAATCATTATTAATGGGCTAGAAACTGAAGTTTTGTCTAAATTAGTTCAGTTCAACTTAAAAGACAATACGAGGTTGATAATGTAAACCAAAAATTGACATTTAGAAAAAGTCTTAAATATATCCTCTTATATTGCAATTCCACAGGTGGCATACTAGTACAGAAAAAAAAATACTTTACAAAAAAAATTGCACTTTAAAATTAATTCACACAAAATAGATATTTTTAAACTTCTGAGCACTGGGGTTGGAGTATAGTAACATATATAGTAATGGTCCTGTTTGTGCAAAATAGTCTGGATTATTTAATTATTTTTAAATGACTCTAGGATCTTTGAAAAATATCAAATATACATTTTCCAAATGTCAAAATTATCTATCTTGGTGTCTCTATAATTTTCTCAGTAAAAGTTAGATAGTACCACCTAGTGGCTGAATGACATTTATGGCAGTGAACAGTTGACCTGGGAGTGAGCTTTGGGTGGACAGTGCAAATTAAAGGCCAAACTCGTGAGCATTGATAAGAAACTAATTATTTCTACTTCCGACTCTTCAGCAGCCATCTCTGTAGTCTTTGAAAAATCCCTTATTTTTCCAGTTCTTGGAATTACTATATGCAACATAACCAGGTTTGACAACTGGTATTTAATGATCTGAGTCTATAACGCACATACTTCCTAATAAATCTAGCTTTTGTAAAACCAATATATTTTTAAAATAATTCTACTATTGTTTGCATTCCTAAATATATATTTTCATTAAAAATATCTTTTTGAAAACCCATTAATTTCCATTTTTTGATGAAATGCTTGATCCATTCAATTATATAACATAGCAGTGCATAGTTTTTAATGATGCATGTTTATCATTAAATACCATTAGAATTCACATGATATTATTAAATAATACTTTCTAAAATTTTTGAGACTTACCAAATAAACAACATTTTTCTTTCTGTGAAAAAAATTTTAAATCATTTTACAAATACTGAGTTGGCAGACAAAGAATAAAGTGGGTTTCAATTATGAGAGTCCACAAAATTCATTTTAATCCATAAAAAATTTAAGAATAGGAAAACAATCTCCAAGAAGTTTCTATTTAAAGGTCTTTACATAATAATGCTTAATGTTTTTGAAAAGCTATCTTGAGTCAACTAAGTCAAAGATTCTCAAAATCAGGTAAAAGGATCCTTTGAGGTAGAGCTTGTCAAGTAGGTGAAGGGAAAGGTGAAGGTTGAAAATAAAGAAATATTACTTTGTTCCACTTGTTTAATTTTAGTCCAAAGTCACTGAACAAATATGTATTGAGTACCTAAGCTATAGTAGGCACACTGCAGTTATAATAAACAAATATATTTAGGAGGCTGGGAGGTATTTATGAATATAATTTAAAAGCATGTGTTACACAATTTTAAGAAATATTGACAAAGTATTAGCTAATAATTACTCATTTTTATTTTGACCAATAAACATTTTTGAACCATTTGTTTTGTTTAATCATGAAAAATTCCTTTGAAAGTAAGCGTGATCTAGTTTGAGCTTACCTGTTCCGAGAAACATTACATCATACTGGCCGTCTTCTGCAACGACATGATCCACCACTATCTGTGTCAGTCTGTAATCCACATTGATTCGCTTGAATGTTGGCCCTCCTGCAACGGGGTACACTGACTTATACATCACAGGGTGCCGCTTTATGAAACTGATGACATCATCTGGAAAATCTCGGGTGGATTTAATCAGTGGGTCATAGGTTTTGCTTGGACACTGAAAATAAATGTGGAGAAAGACATTGTTTATGTACCTGAGAAATTCTCACTTACTTTCAGTAAAGTTTTTAAGGCTTATCACCAATAATATTAAAGGAATGGACAACAGAGTCAATATGGAATCAAGTGTACTTGTAAATAAATGCGGTCTACCACCAATAAATTTAAATCCAGTTTTCCCCCTCAAAAATATCCTAAATTATATGTATTCATTTATGTATATGTATAAAATTTCCACAGTGAATTCTTTTCTTATAAACATTATCGTTCCTTTGAAGATTATTGTGTCTAATGAAGATACATGAAATTTAAGTTGACATATCTGTTAAGAAATTGATCTATAAACCTGAGAAACTATGGGAAACTATCATTTTCAATTTCCTTTGAGTAACTTTATGATTTCAGTTTAACTGAAATCATGTTTATTAAAAATAAAAAGGAACAAATCAACAGGTTGCAAAAATTATTTTCGAAAAAACTTTAATAATTTGAAATTGTAATTATGTAGTTTCTTTTATAGCTGGTGTGAAAATTATACTTTGAACAGTTTAACAGCTTTTCTCCTAAAGGAGCTGTGAAGAAACCCTCAGGGAATTTTCCACTTGTGTCTAAAATTGCCTCCTGCGTGCCTTTCAGTGTTTACCAAATCAATAGTTAACATAATCTGCCCCCTGGTGGTAAAAATTAAAAAGTTCCTACTAGTCAATGAATTTGAAGTGACTTTATCCAAAAATAAAGAAATCACTTTATAACTAAACTTTTTTAATTCAGAAAATATCTTCTCTTCCAAATCCTAAATCTATTTTATTTTTCAATATATTATAATTTAGGAATATACCTCTGATAGAACAATTCTGTTATCACATTTCAAATTCTTAATGGACTAATGTATTCTTTTGAAGTGGAAAACTTTAGTCAATTGATGCAGGCAGGCATAGAGAAGAAAATGAGTGACATTAGGGAAAGTTTGAAAGTAGATTCTGCTTTTCCCTTATTATAGTTTTTAGAAAAGTTGGAAACATAGTCTTTACTAAACTGAGCCATTTATACAAGGCACTAATTAGAATCATGTTAAGCTTCCAAAAATAAAATGTACTTCTCAAAGCATTCAAGAGAGTCATTCTTAGGGGGCCGAAGATCCTAGAGTTAGTCACAATATATGACTCTGAACCCAAATTTTATACCAATAAAATCATAATGGCTCTTATGAGTTAGAAGAAGTATCAAAGAAGTTGTAGTTAAAAAAAAAAACTGTTAATGAATTTCTATAAATAATTAAAAAATATCTTTCACAGAAATCTTGCATGTCTGTTATTAAGAAACTGATCCTTTCTTGCTTTCTGTTTACTTGCCTCAGGTTCTGCAGCAGAGAGATTAGAAATGTCCTGGAGTATTAGCCATTTAGTATTTATCTGGCATATTCTTAACTGGATGTTGGTCTAAAGATCTATGTCTGTGTGTTCAGTTATTATTTCTAGCACTTAGCCTTCCGCCAAGTGGAATCTGTCAACTCGATAATGGAAGGAACCCTGTATTAAATAGATTAAGCAGAGACTCAAAATGGATATGGAGCTCAAATGATACAAAGCTCCTCTCCAATTAGAGGCTGCATGTTTGAGGCTCAGTCAAAGGCCATTCACCGTGGGCTTATAGCATATAATGCCTGTGGTTCAATCTGGTTGGTCTATCATTAAAATCAAAGCAAGAGCAAGATTTTGCCTGCATTACATTTTTGAAAGAGCCCTCCAGCTTAAAAAATCTCTTTTGACTTTGCAGCTGTAGTTATGCAGTAGCCAAAATTTCAAAAGAAATAATATAATGACATTCAATCCACGAGTTGTGATATCAAATTTTTAAATAATTACAAATTTTAATGTAAGAAAGTATAGTTGAATAAAAATATGAACATTTAGCAAATAAATAAATATGACAATTTTCTTCATTGCTCACCTCTGACAAAAAGGTTTAAGTGTAATAAAATCTAAGAAAAAAAGAAGAGAAGGAAAACATGGTTTCTATTGACTATTATAAAATGATCTTTGAATATATATTTTTTCTTATGGCAGCTTTTCCTCATGGCATGCTGCCAGTGTTTGGATAAGATCTTTATCCTCTGGGTTCCTATGCGTGATCTCTCAGGTCCGAGTCTCCACTATGCTTGCACAAATGAAAATGATTTGGTAGAGTTACTCCCTGAGGTTTAAGACAGTATGGTTTGAACCAAATATTGTTATTTTAGTACATTCAAACCAGTGGAATTTTTGCTTTGATATCATATAGCTGTGCAGCACAGAGATCTAAAAATAACTTGAGATGCCAAGCAACATACGCAGGTAAGAGTAAAGTAGGGAGGAAAAATTCCATAGAAGAAAAAGAGAAAGTGTGTAAAATGCTATATCTAAAGCAAATTGTTATATTCAATTATTTATTTTCTTACAAAAGAGCCTAGAAATTTTTCTTATTGCAGCTGTACATCCCACATATTAAAAATCTAGTGAATTTTTCTCTGTATGTATGTACTTTTAATTTCTAGCTATTAACACGGTCCATTTGAACATACCATAGGGGGGCCATTTACTTTTGCCTCCAGTTTTCTAACATTGGCCTAACTTCCACCACTTTAGCTCCCTGTGAATGTAGGAAATAAATCAGGAAACTTATCTGTGTCTCTACCTACTGTTTTATAAAACTCAAAGACACTTTAAAATTTAAGGACAAAGAAAAAAAGAGAAAGCTATTACTGAAATTTTAAAATACCAGTATCTTGCTAGAAACATTAATACCATCTCAAGACTAGAAGAGAACGTGTCTAGACAAACCGTGAGATGAAAGGGTAAACCCAACAGCAACAGCAACAGCAACCAGCCCTGGTTCAGCGCCTATCTCCCATGGCTGGCTGCCATAGCTGGCTAGGTGTGATCGTGTTATGCTTGGCAGGTCTGCATGTTTGTCTAGGGCCTTTAGTAGTGGAGTGGGAAGCAATGGATAAAAGGAGAGAAAGGGTTTTTATCCAATGAGAGATCTTTTCCCCTTGGCAAGGCCCCAGACAGCTGTTAAAGGTTTTCTCCCTCTGCGGCTTCAGACTGTTCTCTACAGGTTGCAGTTTTCTTTTAAACAAATCAGAAAAATGAATAACGTGTGGGAAGACATGGCACAAGGAAGGACTGAACTAGGCTTTCATTTTCAGCAAACTGAGAAAAATAAACTAAATATGTAAAGGAAGTCTGAGTTTTATTTATAAAGTAAAAACCACAAATGTAATAGGTGCCATCTTATCCTCCTGTTTATTCATCTAAGAGTCAGCCTATAACAGTTATGGGCAAGGAAAGACCTTATATTAAATATCAGAGATAGAAAAGCCAGGGTCTGGGCAGGTACGGGGGCTCACTCTTGTAATCCTAGCACTCTGGGAGGTGGAGGTGGGAGGATCATTTGAGGTCAGGAGTTGGAGACCAGCCTGAGCAAGAACGAGACCCCATCTCTACTAAAATTAGAAACACTTAGCTGGGCGTGGTGGCGCATGCCTGTAATCCCAGCTACTTGGAAGGCTGAGGCAGGAGGATCACTTGAGCCCAGGAGTTCAAGGTTGCAGTGAGCTATGATCATGTCACTGTACTCTAGCCCTGGTGACAGAGCAAGACTGTCTCAAAAAAAAAAAAGCCAGAGCCAAAAAGACAGAGGTAAATTTCTCTGTCTCTCTCTGAGTTTTCCTTTCTCTCAGAGGAATTCCCATACCAGAAAAAGCAAAACACTGTTGAACATAGTAAGCAGCCTGGGATTCGAAGAACCTCATTATAAAAGCAAATGTTGGCCCTGTGGAAAAAAAAGCTGAAAATCTGTTGTAAAGGCTGGTTCATGTTAGAAGCCCACGGCCTCTCACCACATTAGAGAAACATAGCCTCTGCATAGTTAAAGGGAACGACAGTGATGTTTCATCGTACACCTCCTTCAGTGTACTCAGGTTTAGGAACCTGGAGTCAGAAAGCTTCTAGCCTTGCCTCTGCTAAACGCTAGAAGAAATAGAACCAAAAATACCCTCAGTAATTTAGAGAGATGGTGACAAAGTAATAGTTCGCTACTCGACAAATGGAAGGCTCTGAGGTGAACAAATATTAGAAAATAAAACTGTAAATTCAATATGATACAGAGGCATGAGTGAGCCACTGATACCTAAAATGAGATTTTTCCAAAGTTTTCTATAGTTTATAAATTAATTAGGGAAGATTTATTTAAAGTGAAACAAACAAAAAACACAACAATAAGAACAAAATATTAGCCATTTTCCTCAGGTGCACAAATGGGAAGACAGAGTGAGACACTGTGAGAGGATTCTTGCTTCATATTCTGCATTTTTCAGTCCCCTTTGGTAAGACTGTCATAGTCTAACACTATACACATTAATAGAAAGTGTTGAATACTATTTTTGAATTATATATTTGTCTTTGGTCAGTTACACCTATGTTTGGAAGTCAACCTTAAATAACATCGTTTTCTACAATATTAAAAAAATTCTTACTTAATGGGGCCAGCATGGTTTATGACCAAGATCTGATGCAGGAGATTAACAAAGACATAACAAGCTAAGAACCATCACCTCTCTGTGAAAAGATTGTGTTACAGGATTATGCTGATGCTCAAGCCACATGGTTTATGGAGCAGAAAGAGAAAACAGGGTGCCCCAAAAGTTCTGAACTTGTGGATTCCACGGCTGCCTCAAATCCCTGCTGCTGAGAATAGCAATCAAGGTAAAAGTTTGAATTTCTCAGGAGTAGTTCTAGTTCTAGTTGGAGCACCATTACCTACATTCAGTCTGCTATGTAAGCCCAGTTATTGACATTATGTATTATTATCCTATGATCTCTTCCATACAGGATTTTCTTTTGAAAGCAAAATCATAAACCAATCTCAGGGAAGGCAATGATGCCTTGATAAGAAAGACTTTTCTAGAACAGAGGGGTATGCCAGGACCCAGAGCTGGTCCATGATGGTGTATTTGTA